GTTTGGAAAAAAGGTTAATTGGCTAAGAGTTGAAGTCTATTGGTGATTTTCCTAGTATTTCTTTATCTGCTGATCAACAATTCTTTATCTGTGTCAGGAATGTTCCTTCCCTGAAACACAATGGCTCAGATACCATCTCCATAACATGCTTGCAGATCCCTTGGGACACAAAGGTTGCACTGTTTGTCAACCTCCTGGCATCAAGTAAGTCATATATTCCAATTCCTGAAATAACAGCTTTCCACATGCATTAGTCACTTGTCTATAGTTGATATAGCCTATCAACTATAACTACAGCTAAAATCTTTAACTCTTGAGTTCCTCTCTCAGTTGTATGACAGAAAATATATGAGGTATCCAGCTCAGTTCCTGTAAAGCACTTTTGCGTCTTTTATTTCACTGGTCTCATCCAAGTGCTGATGTTCCGTAAATGGCATGACTTGTAGATTGGTGATTGCCCAGATAGAGGAGGGGTCACTATATCAGGAAGAGGGCAGAAGATTAAGCTTTGGGAAGAGAAGGGCCAGTGAGAACACTAAAAATTCACAAATCTGGAGGAGGAAGTCTCCAGAAACCCAAGAGGCACCAGTATTCAGAAGACCTGGAAAGAAGATCCAAGATTGTCCGTTGTAGGGAAAGGATGGGAGAGAAAAGGGAGGATGGGAAGGGCCCTGAAGTACAGAATGGACCCAACTGAAATAACCCAGATCAAAGGTAGCACCCTGCTGACAGCAACATATACCTGGTCCAGAAGGAAGACAAACAGTAAGTCCTCCCAAATAACAAGTCCAAATAAGCAAGCCCAGCATGAGGGTCAAAGCCAATACTCAGGACCCTGAGGTACAAGACAGTATGTACAAAATTCAAACTGACTAATGGAAATCTCCAGCATTAACAGTACTGACATTTATTTGTTTTGTGTTTGCAAAGTGTTTTCATACTTTCACAAGGTACATTTGTGAGTGGTCAGAAGGGTCTGAGTTTGCAGTCAGAGGACCTGATAGTGTTCCTTGACAGCTCTGGGACCCACCCCAAGTCATGGAACTTCTCAGGACTCACTTTCTTCATTTGTAAAGTGACAAACAATTCCACCCATCCTACAGTGTTGTGAGGATTAAGCCGCAGTGCTTTGCAAACATGCTAAGTGGTTCTGTGGCTCATACATATTAACACGAGTAGTGGGCACAGGGTGGCTCTGCAATCCAGGCCTTTCAACTAGCAAATCACCCTTCCATCCCCCACCGGCCTTGACCTTGGCTGATTTCAAAACAGGTAGCACAGGGTGATGGCTCTCCTCCCTGCACCCTCAGAGCACTGAAGAATGCTGAATGCCTCTGCTTCTCTCTTGCTCAGAGGGACAGCCAGGAGATTAGTTATCTTTCAACTTCTTACCACCACTGCCCTGAATCCTCCAGGTCAGCCAGAATGGAGAAGTCTGAACATGGTGATTTTAGAACCATATGGCTTTTGACTGGCCCAGTGAGCAGAGACACCTTGCTCTGAATAACATGAATATGAGGGGATTGGAACTTTGGGAAATTTTGGTCTGATTGAGGGAACTGGAAGTTGGTGAATGTTGGACCAATTCAAGAATATCTGATGGCTGAAGGTGAAGCTTCTGGTGAGAAGGGTGGGGTTAAAATGTGACTGCATCTTCCTTCTGCTACTAGTGACTATTTCCTTTAATACCTTTAACTTTTTGAGGTGCTTTCCCACTATTGAGTGTATTCCACCTTACCGGCAGTTTTTCGAGATGCACATCATGTTAGCAGTTTTAAAAATCGAAATGGTGAGAGGGGAGTTCTATTTTTAAAAAAAGATTGAGTGATTTGTCAGCTACTTTATTGGCCGAGTTGGACCTAAAATTCAAAAGATGATGCTAGTTCCTTTACCCACTTGGTGGGTGGAAGTCAAGGAACATGATCCCCTATCTTATCGCATTCAGCCAATGGGATCAGTTTACCAGGTTATGGAATCATCACCTTGGAAAGCATAAAAATGGAATGAGATAGCTGAGGGCAGTACAACTCTGGTGGTAAGTAGGGAGCAAGGGAGCTGGGCAGGCCACAGAAGGAGAGCCAGGGAGGGGGTCCCATCCTCAGCAGGGCTTTCACATCCATCACTTTCCTGGCTCTTTATAGTGTAGAAATGCAGGTGTATTTGTATCACTTTATGGGGGTATGGGGGGAGTCCTCCTCAGGGGTTAAGAGGCTGGGCCACCAGCTTATTAGAGTCAGAGACGGTGCTGCACCCTTTCGGATTCCAGGTGCACACTTTGCTTTTCCTGCCATCCTTCCTTCCACCCACCGGCTTGGCACGGGTGCTGAGCCCCGTGTGGTCAGATCCCCAGTTCCGTGCATGTGCACATGTGCACGGAGATCTGTGAGCATGTGCTTGGTGCACACTGTGTACCTGGAAGTCTTTCGTTCTGCAGACGCCTCGCTGCCTAATGGCCCGCGAGAAATGAGCGGCTCAGCGTGAGCTGAGCCAACTTGTGCATCTAGGGGAGGAGGCTGATCTGCGACGCCTGGGGACGGTGGCCCCTCTAACCCGTCTCGGCCCGCTCCGCTCCTTTCAGCCTCTCTGCTTCTTCCGTCTCTAGGTGTCTCTTCGCATCCCAGTCTTCATGGGTTTCCAGTGTCCTCTATCAGTTTCTCCGACCCGGTCTCCAGGGCCGCCAGCTCCCTTTCCTTTTCCAGCTGCTCTTACTTGGAGGCTGGAGGTCGGAGAACGCTGATTACGTTCCAAGGGTGGCCTCGCGGAGGGGGCCTGCGAGGCGGTAGTGACTCCTGGACCGAGCATAGGGGTGTCGTGTACAGGGGGCGATAACTAAATCAGTATCACCCCGTCCACCAAAACCCGAGACACCTCCCTACCCTCAGGGCTGCTCCCCGGCCAGGACAAGAGGTGGAGTCTCGTCAGCAAAACAAGGCCACCCGGCTGCGCCCGCCGCCAAGACCGCACCCCCAGGGGCAACTGCCCCTCTCCACCCCACCCCCCAGCGCCCCGCCCCGGTCAGCCCCCGGCCAGACCCCAGTCCGCTCCGAATCCGAGCCGGGTTTCCTCCTCGTCGCTGGGGTCTCCGCCCCTCAGAGCCGCACACCCAGGCCGAGCCGAGCGTCACCGCGGGAGCCACACGCACCGCCCGAACCCCCAGGACTAAGTGCCGAGCCCGCGGGCGCCCCGGAGCTGCGGCGCAGACCCCACCTGCGCCTTCGAACTCTGAGTCCGGACCGGTGCGGTGCCCGCGCGTCACCCGAATTCGATCTTCGGGACTCCGAAGTGACCTCTCCTCGGCACCGTTCTGTCTGCTCGGCCGCCCAGCTCGCTTCTCAGCGTCCCCGCCCGGGCTCTGACTTCGGCGAGGTGAGGGGGCCGTGGGGGCCTGAGGGGGCGGGCGCGCTCCTCTGCCGAGGAGTGGGGACAGTAGAGGCCACCGTCCCTCGGGGGAAGAAAGCCTCTGCACCCCTAGGCAGAAGCCCTCCAGTCCCGTGACCTAGATAACTGAGACTGCGATTCACCTCAGGTGTCCATTGTGCTCGCCTGTCATCCCTCCCCCACCCCGTCGCCATTTCGCTCCCGCCAGCCCCCAGGACCAGGTGCCTGGGGGCACCCCTGCCAAGTTAGACAGCTTCCTTGTAATCTCCCTCCCGCCTGCTCTCCCCGCCCCCACTCCGGAAAGAGGCCGAGGGAAGAGGGGAAACCCCCCCAGCACAGGCCCCGTCTTCCATGGCTGTGGCCCTCTGAGGCACCCCCTTTTCCCCACTCCTTGGTCCGTCTTCCTCATCCCTTGCCTCTATCCCACTTCTTCTTGCCTCTCCTGTCTCTTTTTTCCAGATCTCTGTTCTCTTCCAGCCTCTTTTCTGGCTTTCTCCTTTTCTTGACCCCTTCCCCCATCACACAGCCGGAAGAAGGGGGTGTGTCACGCTGCTTTCTATTTCTGGTCTCCCGGGGGGTTAGGGGGCGGGGTTCAGGGCTCCGACCTTTTTGGCGTCAGCTGGGCCCTGAGTCACAAGGTGTCATGTGTGTGATTCCGTATCCATGCCTCCTTCAGCTCCCCTCTCCCATCTTCACTCAACCTAACCTCCCTGTCTGCCTTTGTCTCCTTTCTGCCCCCCTTTATTGTCCTTTTTTGCTCAGTGTTTGGGTGCTTTGTGTAGCTGCCATCTGTCTCTGCCTCTCCGCTCTTTGCTCCCTCTTCTTCCTTTTCCAGGTCCCAAACGCTGGTACCTCAAGAGCGTCAGTATTTCAGGTGCGTGGAGTGCTGCGAAGGTGGAGGGAGGCTCTCAGTATGCCCAGCGATGACTTCAATCATCCTTCTCTCCCAAGAATGATCATTCATACTTACCAGATTGAAAGAACAGATACAAGGATGTAGGGATATGGATGGCAAGGGAAATGCTGCCCCTTTTCCTGGAGCTTGTTCGAACTACATTTCCCACAGTGCTCTGGACACACAGGGCTACCTCTGCCTAGACACTTCATGCGAGTTCAAAGAGCCAGGTTGGAGGGCACTATACGGGCGGGTGGGAAGTAATCAGAGTGTGGAGCGAAGATTGTGGAGCTGGCTAGTAGCTTTGGCTTGGCCTGGAACCCCTGACCTATTTTTTCCCAGCACCCACCTTCCCCAGAGCTGAAGAACCTTGCAACCTTTGTGTTCCCCCAAAAGAAAATGGAAGTAGAGGAGTGACTTAGAGAAAAACAGAGGTGATGAATTGGCAAGCCTTTCCTTTTTCCCTGTGACCCTGGGAAACTGCTCTCCTTCCCTTACAAACAACCTTATCTGAGATGTAGAGACTCCATTGGAAATAGTCTCCCCGTCTTGAAAGCAAGGGAGGGAAACAACATTGAATGTCTTAGATCTGTTTGGATGTGTTCCAGTTTACAAGTTGCTCACCTTCTGCCCTCTTTGGGAGCAGTGGGGAATTGCTGAGATTACCCGTAAACTACCAGTTTGTATTTTCCAGGGACCCATGAACAGCTGGTGAGGGTGCCTGGAGATGCAAATGGAGGCTACATGTTAGTTAACCTGCTTGTCTCTAGGACACATCATCCCCAGAGCTTGGTGCAAGGAGTCTGATGCTTGAGCTTGTTATTGGCCTAGAATTTGCTGACAGTAAGGGGAAGGCAGCGTGAGATTCCTCCCACAATCCCACCTCTGGTTCTGAGTCAGCTCAGCCCCAGGCTGGGTTTTGCCCCTAGCAAAAACCTAACGCTGGGTTTTTTCTTTTCTGCAGGGTAATGAAGCTGGAAGCATAGCCAAACTCAGCCTCTAACTCCTGCTAAGGACCCAATAATCCCTATCTTCACTCTTCAGGCTGAGTTTGGAGATCTAGATACTCACCCGCTGGTCTGGGAGCCAGGAAAACATAGTCTCATGTTTCAATTTCCTCACTGTGAAAGGAATGGATTGAACTGGGAGGTCTCTAGTGGCCCTAACAGGGACTCTAAGATTCTCTGGGCCTGTGCCTTTGATGATACTAGCTTGAGCTGTCTCACCTGGAGGAGCCTTAGGCATCAGCATCAGATTAAAAAGAAAGAGGAAGATGGTGCTCAGGTTTTGAAGCTTGTTTGTAGAGCAAGCACTCTGTGTTTATGTAAGCACTGTTTATGGAATGGAAGCTAATATCATCCCTACACCACCCTTTGGTACCCCTCCCAAGCCTAGATCATGTTCTTGTTTTAAAAAAAAAAAAAAAATCCAACCCAGCCAATATCACCCTCCACAAAGTAGCTTGTCTGTGTGTCCCCTGAGGTTGGTTAATGAGGCTTAATGCAGGTTACTCAAGGGAAGAATTACAGTTGGCTGAAAGAGAGAGGAGGGGGATTTGATTGGTTGATTTGGTTGGTCTGGAGGAGGGAGGTCTGGAAATAAAGACTCATCAGGACTTGGGGAGGGAGCTTCCTCTTTGGCCCTGTTTCTGGTCAGGGAAAAGAGAAAAGCTGGAGGCCAAAGAGGTTCAATATCCACAGGGGATTGACCCAAAAAGGAGACTTTGAGGAATAGAAAGGGCAGGGAAAGCCCTGTGTGGGAGATGGGACAAAGGTTACAGGGACAAATTTTAAAGGGAGGGAAAGGGGAGGATATAGAAGAAGAGGGACTTTATCTCTTGAGGGAAGGAAAACGAGGAGGGGGCATGGGTGATCTTGGTGGATATTTTGTTTGCTGAAGCTCCAATAGAACCCTTTTCAAAACGGTTACCTCACCCTGGAGTGGAGCCAAGTCTCGCTCAGAAGGAAGGAAAGGGCAGTTTTGATGAGCCTGGGAGGATCAGCTTGGAATTTTTTAATGGAGCTGTCCATCTGTCCACTCCTTTGGTTTATGTTTGAATATGTATGTTGGGGGTGAAGGGCACTGGGGCAGCAATATGAAGGAGATCTGGGGTCTACATCCCCCTCCCTTCATCCTGGTACGATAAGTGACAATGGCAGGAAAGGGGGGCTGGCAGTTGAATCCTTCACTTTTCCCAGAAAGCTTCCTGGAGGGGGAGTGGAGATGATGGAAATTTCTTTCTCACGCTGTTCTCAGAGAGGTGGTAGGGCCCTTGGAGAGGCATCTCTCCATTATTTACACCACCCACTTTCCCCCTAGAGTTCTTGGGCTAACTGCGGGGGGAGGGGGACAGAGGCTAGTCTCTGGGGAGATCACAGAGTCCTGAGTTTGTGAATGTTGAGGAGAGTCCTGGTTAAATGGAGCAGGATAGGATTGAGAGTTCTTGGAGCTGGTGGGAGAGGGTAGCTAGAGGCCTTCTATCCCTAGGGTCTGTGTGAAGAGCAGAATAGAAGCAGTGTTTGTGTAGGAAGGGGTTGTGGGGACTGTTTGTATGTAGGGGACCAGATGTGGAAACAGCAGGCTCTGACCCCACGCTGGGTTTTTTCTTTTCTGCAGGGTAATGAAGCTGGAAGCATGGCCACCTCAGAGGCCCCTAAGTCCCAAAAAGAGGCTAAGCCAGATGCAGAGCCACTCTCAGAAAACCTGCCGCAGGAGGCCAGGCCTGGATCAGGGTTTGAGGCTGAGGACAAGCCTCTGGGGGCTGAACCAGGGCCTGAGGCCAAGGCCAAGTTCTTGGGGGCCAAGCCCAGGTCCGGATCTGGGCCTGAGACCAAGGTTGAGTGGCTGGACTTCGTAGTGGCCACAGAAAGGGAGTTTCAGGAGGTACTGGCCATCTCAGGGGGCATCTATGGTGGCCTCGACTATCTTCCTAACCCCTGTTACAGCTGGCTCCAGGACCCCAGCCGCACCACGGTGCGGGCGAAGCGCCGTGGAGGAGTGGTGAGAACTGGGGCCCAAGTGAAAAGGGTGCTTGGATCCTAGGAAGGAGAGGAAGCCAGCCTCTCCCTCAGCCCATGTCACGTTGCTGAGGACATAGAGCAGCCTTTGGAACCAAAGAATAGAGACTTCAAGTCCAAGGGCCCAGCCAGTGAGCATGGGGTGGCGGACATGTAGAACTCTAGGAGAGGAACCAGAGGGACTGGTGAGAACTTCCATATTTGAGGATTTGTTTAGGGAGTTTCTGAGTGCAGGAGCACAAAAAGAGAGGAGCGGGTAAGTGGAGGTAGGCTGGGGGTGGAAGCAGGGAGAGTGGGGGCCAGGACCCCTGAGTAGACTGACCTGTCGCACAAAGAAGGCCTGGTTGTGTTGTGGGAGCAGGACCCCTGAGCGTGGGCTCCCGGGAAGAGCCAAGAGGAAAGAGGCGTGGTAGGTAACTGAGGGCGTGGCAAGCCCCCGGTGGTGGAGCCAAGGAAAAGGGCGTGGCGAGTGGCCAAGGACCTCTTGCACCCTGAATTACGAGCAGCTCAAGAGGTGGAAGCGACCCCAGGGGATGGCCGCTCTGCCAAGTCCGGAATCCAAGACCCAAGTGCTGAGGAGAGCGCCCTGAACCGGCTCCAGGTGTGGCCTGGCGCCAAGAGTGGTGACGAAGGAAAGGGCTCGAAGAAGGGCTCAATGTTTGGGAAAAGGCGAGCCTGTGAGCCGAAAGGGGTGGAGTCGGGGAAGGGCCCCCTAATGGCCTTGGTCCACAGATCGCGCTGGAGATGGTGCACTTGATTGACTCCGGAAGACTGCGCTGGTGGAGGGGCTGCACTGGGCGCCCTGGGAGTGCGGCAAGGGCGTGACCAGACTGCTGCAGCGCTTCTGCTTGCAGCTGGTCAAACGACAGTACCCGGGGCTTAAGGTGGCGCGGCTTGCCCGGGAGGAGCCGCTGCGCCTCCGGGAGCTGAAGAAATGCCTCCTAATCATCAAGCAGGTGAGGACAGAGGGCTCGGCGTCCTCCCCTAGGCCCAGCCACTCACCGGCTTTCTTACTCTGCCGGCTCTACCGAGTGGGGGCGCCCATGAGCCCAGCACTGGGACTCCCAGTCATTACCTTGGCCCTTTTGCCAACGGGAAGTGAAACAACTTCCGACTCCCAGCTGGGAGTCTCTCGGTAAGGACGACTATCATTCCTTACTTCGAGAGCCTGAAGAGCCCAGGAGTCTAGACTTCCGTGATTCAGCCTCCCTTACATCGATCCTGTCTCCCTTCAGGGACCCAAACATCTGAGCCTTTATTCCTTCCCTTCCTCCTCCCTCGTCCAACCAACTCAATTGATCTGCTTTCTCATTTCCACTTCTCTCGGAGACTCTGAGGCCAACACCCCCAGTTCCCTGGATACTTCTCACTGACCCCACCTCTCCTACTCGGAGGCTTTGCCCCTGGTTCATCCTTGCTACCCTTGGGGACCCGGGCTTTCACATATCGCACTTCACTCTGCACCCCTGCAGGGCTCAAGTGGGAGCCCGTGGGTGTGAATGTGAGAGTGAAGATGCCGAGAGGCGCGCTGGGCTCGTCAACCCTCCCGCCGCCAGTCCCGAGCTCATTTGTGTCCCCCGCAGGGTATGGTCAACGCTGCTGGCAGGTCTGGGCACGAGGCTGGCGGTGCTGCGGGCCTCTGGCACCTTCTCACTCCTGCTCACTGAGGCCCTGTCAGAGGCAGACAGTGACTTGACAAGCCTCCTGCTGTCGCCCTCCGTGCAGCGCAACATGCTGTCAGGCGGGACCTTCATCCAGGACTGGAAGCCCTACCAGACTAGCGAGAGCATCCTGTGCCAGCTGGCGGCCAAGGGCCTGGAGTGGCGCATGGACAGCCGCACCTGCCCAGGAGTCATCACACTGTGCACACACCCTTTTCCCTTTCTGCACGGCTGCAATGGCACGTGGTCCTGTCTCCGCATAGATGCCTTTGGCTGTGACTGTGCTCAGATGCAGAGCCAGTTTCTGTGGCATCTCCAACTCCAGGAACCGGGCCTCACCAGCCTCAACGTCATATGTCAGCTCTTCCTGGTGCTCCAATTGTGGTCACAGCTGGCTTTTTTCTGCCAGGCGGGCTTGGGACTTGAGCTGGTCAAGGGTTACACTGAGCCGTATCTGCTGGAGGCGGATGTCTAAGGCCTCTACTATCTGAGAAGCACTTTAGATTCTCCCCCGCCCAACTCTAGATCCCCAGAAATCCCTGCTGCCCTCATTTGCAAGCTCCACCCTCTACCCTGCTGCCTATCGTTATCTGCTCTAAGTCCCTCCTCCCCTGCCCCCCACCTCTCTGCCATCTTGCCTCTAACACCCCCAAACCTGTGCCCATGGCCTGATCTGTATTGCCCAGCTTGGGGGAGCCCTTTGCACTGCTATTGCTCACCCCTTGCCCTTCCCAGCCAAAGAACTGGTTCCTTCACAGGCTTCAGAGCTTTTTCTTGTCCATTGCGTGAGCCTGGGAGTGAACTCTGCCCTTCCTGGCTGTTCCTTTCTGCCTCCTCCTGGAGGGAAGTGGGCAGAAGTGTGTGCAACATCCAGCACCTCTCCTTGTGCACAGCTGCCCGACACATACTTTCCTCCTCCTGCTCCTTCCCAAGCCCTCAGAGCTTGCCCTGTGCTCCCTCACTGCTCTTTTGGCCTGTTGTGCCTTTAGAACTGCGACCTCTCCCTCCTTCTCTCTGTACCCCCATCTTCCTCCTCCCTGGACCTCCCAGCCACTTAGCTCTTCATTGTCTCTTTGTCCCCTTTCCCCATGAGCTCCTTATCACCCATCCTGTGTGCAGTATGGAGAGGGATGCTGTAAATGAAATGGAGTTACAATGCTGTCCCTATTTTGGCCCCCTGTTTATGCTCTGGTGTTGTACCTTTCTGAGCCTGCCCTTCTGATTAGAGTCTCCTCCAAGTTGCACGATGCTCTTATTTCACAGGGCCCCTCCTGATGTCCCCAAAACCAGTGGCAGAACCAGGAGGTTCAGTCTGGAGAGTTGTGTAGTGAATGAAGCACAGTTTCCTCAGCTAGTGTGGGGCTGTCTCCTGATTCTAGCCAGGCTGCATGCTAGTGAGTCTGGCACTCCTACCTCCAGGTTTTTCTGGACAGTCCTCCCTCCTCTTCTTTCTTTTTGGACTTTGACAGTCTTCTATTTAAATGCAAGCAGTAACAGCTGTATTTCCACAGTGCTGTCTTCTATACTGGATCTTCACATCTACTGCAGAGGGAGGAAACAGAGGCCCAGAAAAATCAAAGTGATTTTGCAGTCACTCACAGTAGCTGGGAGCCTTGCAGGGACTAGAACTCAGATGTCCCAAGGCCAACACATGCCTCAGAACCTCACTCTTCGACAGTAGTAACTTGAACTTCTTGTTGGGCAATGGAGACCTGCTAAGGACACATTCACAGCAAACACAGGGTTCGCTGGGATGGAATACAAGATGTGGGCAGAGGAGGGCACCAGAAGCTGGAAAGTGGGCAAAGAGAACCACTGCTGCTTCACCATGGTTCCAGTTCTGGCTTTGCTGATGTGCTCCTCTACCTCCTGTGCCTGGCCATGCTGCCACCCTTCCAGTTTCTTCAACCAAGGCTATGTTGCAATAAAATGAACTCAGCCCACCATCTATGTTTGTTTTACTTCTTAGTGGGGACGCATGAGATGCTTGATCCTTCCCCTTCCCAAGTAGCCTTTATTAGAGAGGATCTCTAAGCCTTGTGGCGATGGGGCTACTGACCTCTGGAGGGGATCTGGGAAAGGCTGCTTGCCCTTGCGCACCCCCACCCCTACGCCAGACAAGCGGCAGAAAGAAGCGATTGCACTAAACCGAGGCGGACAGCAGCGCTCCGCACTGACTAGACGCCGGCCTCACTTTCCCCTGAACCTGGGAGTAGGCTGCTGTCCAATTTCTGTGGATTCTTCCCCCAAGTTCCTCTTGGCATCCAGGATCAGCCTTCCTCAGCCCTGCGATCCAGGCGCCTAACTCCCAGCTCTCTGTTCTCTCGTGACCAGCTTCATTCCCGGGTGGGCACCGCGCAGCATCGGGAGGCGGTGGAGGGAGCCTGGGCGCCGCTTCCCCGGGAACCAAGCTCCGGAGCAGCGAAGACTGCGATCCCGAAAAGTAACACGCGGGGGCGCTAGGACGTGTCCGGACGCGGGCGAGGCAGCGCAAGGTGGTTTCGGTCCGTGTATGTCCATGGGCGTCTTTGTGTGTCTGCGTTTCTGTATATGTGTGTACGAGTAAGGGGATGTCTGGGTAAGATATGTTCGGGACAACGTGGCTGGTGTACCCAAGAATCAGGTACTCCAAGTGTCTTTTTGATGAGGACGATGCTTGATATGTTGCTATGTACGTGTGGATGGGGAGGCAGGGAACTGTGTGTGTGTCGTCGTGTGTGCAAGGCGTAGCCTCTGAGTCCCGGATCCGCCTCTTGGATTTTTGAAGTCACATACCTTTAGGCTGTTTTACCCCCTATCCCATGTAAGAAGAATGAAGGCTCTTTATGCCAATCTCTATTACCCCGGTCACATCTTTAGCATGGGTCTGCGTGACCCTGCTAGGCTAGGTGTGACATTGTTTGTGCAATGGGTGTGTCTCAGAATATCAGTGCAACTCTGAATGATAGTGTGTAGTATGTGTGTGACAGGTGGGTGTTGGGAGGAGGTTGATTCAAGCTTATGGAAGTAAACAGTTTCCTTTTTCTTGTTAGTTTGTGGATATCATCTTTATGGCATGTGTGTTTTTCTTTCTCTGTCTCTCCAGTAGTTGTCTCTCTTTGTGTCTCTCCTCATCTCTGTCTCTTTCTCCCTCTCTCTCTCCCTCTCTCTCACTCTCCCTTTCTTGGTGACTCATCTCTGCGGCTTTGCTCTCCCCCGGCTTCCTGGGTCTCCCCTCCCCCATTCAGGAGTGTGTGGGGGTAAGAAGGAATGGGACTGGGGTAATGAAAATTAGGGTGAGCACCCCCTTCCTATTATTTATAATTCCCAGACATGTCAGTGGCCCCCAGTCCTCTCCCAGTCCCCTTCCCAGGACTCCCCACCCTACTTGACTGGGGTGGCAGAGGTTAGGGCAACAATGCATTCTAATGGGGCCATTTTCAGGGGGGGGCCTCATCACCTTCTTTCTGTTCAAAGTGGAGACCCCTGTCCCTCTCATACAGTGCCCCCCGCCCTGCCTGTCCCCCACCCCCATCGCTGACGCAATGAGAGGCTGCAGAGGTGAGTCACCATTTGGGGGGAAGGGAGGGAAGGGGGACCGTAAGCTTCACGGGAAAGGGGGTGTTGGTGGGGATAGAGGTGGGGGAACAAGCCCCTGCTCACTCTCTCTCCCCCAAACTTCCTCAGTGAAAAGACCCAATGCTCTGCCCCCTCCCCTGGTTTTCCAAACCTTTAGCTTGGATCACTACTCTGCTGGACCCCATCTTCTCCTCCTACTCTACTGGAGAGTGGGGGATTCAGAAACAAAGACAAAGAGAGATAGATTTATACATACAACTCAGAGCAAACACCAGGATCTCCTCTGCATCCACTTCAGTTTTGCCTTTTCCATCTGTCTCTCCATTTCTCTTTCTTTTCTGCCATCTCCCTCTCTCCCTATCTTAGGAACCTATCTCCAGTCCAGCAGGGTATGAAGAGCACAGTACATCTTTGAGAGGTAGAGAGTGTATGAATAAACTGACCCAGGTAGGGAACTGGAAAGGAGAGAAACAGAAACAGACCCAGAGATTCAGAGACTATGCAGATAAGAGGCATCAAGATCCAGACTGGAATCACCAAGCCCGTTGCCATTGGTGCCTGGGGCTTCCATCTTGCTGCCCCCTCACCCACTCCCTGAAGACTGGGACTTTTGGGATGCTAATTTCTGAGGTGTTCCCCTGGGCTTCTGGGCTAGAGTGGAGAAAGGAGTGGGGAGTTGTAGAATGGAGAAATGGGGGAAACACTCTGAAAACAAGGGGCAAGGACTTGAGGGCTGCAAATGAGTAGCTTGGATACTGAGGGTTTATGGCATAGAGATCTAAAGAAAAATGTGACTGTGGGGGAGGGGCAGGAAAGAGCAAAGGCACATAGAAGTCCATGTAACCTCTAACATATACCATCAGGCATGAAATAATCCAGAGAAACAGACAAAAACACATATGTACATGCACACATTATTGACACACCAACCCAGGCACACTTTCCAGACACCAGCAGATGCCCAGGCTGGATACATGCAAAGACTTTTAACTACACAGGCATACTGGCACTCAGAAGGGACCAGAACCCACATACACTCACAGGCATCTGGAAACAGGCAAAAACACAGCCACACAGATTGGAAAAGACTACATATTTAAAATGGAACGCTACCTTGCCCATCTACTCTTGGTTCCCCCCAATTCCCTTTCTTTTTCTTTTTTCCTACGTTTCACTAATCCCTGTACATATATACACACACATGTTCATGCTCACACATGTGTCCACATAGATGAACCCGCATTAACACAGTTTCTCTAAGTGCATCTCCCCTCATCTCACACTTGGTCTCTCAGCCCCATCAGCCTACCAGTCTACCCCTTGGCTTCCTCCCCTCTTTCTCGCTCTTGGATGGCTTCCCTTCCCCCGCTCCAGATGTCAGAGCTGTCTCTCTGATTCATCCTCCTCAGGAAGGTAACGTGACCCCCTCCTCATTCCAATGCTCTCAGTAACCAGGCTGAGAAAAAAAAGGGGGAGGTGGGAAGGCAAAGTAAGAACGAGGGGAGCCTACAGGGACAGGAGGAGATCCTAGATTGTCGCATAGGGGTGGGGGTGAAGTAGTGCAGTGGAGTCTGTTGCCCCCTCCTCTCCCTCTTTTCCTTGGCATTTCCAAAATCACCTTGGCTTTCAATTTTTTCACTCCTTTAGTCTGTTCCCTCTACCTGTTCCAGATTCCCTCCTTCCTTCCTCCCTCTCCTGCTGCCTTCTCTTCTCTCTTTCCTCTCTATTCCTCCCCACCTCTTTCCTCGCAGAGCTTATGGGCTCTCTTCTGGGAAAGTCGAACCACTGATGGAACCGAGAATCTACTGTTGGCTATAGAGGGAAAACACGTGAGTGATTGTGTATGTGTGAGAGAAAGAGAGAGAAATGAGGGTCAGTGCTAAGAAGAGATGAGGAGGGGGTTGAGGACTGGCTCTGACAGTCCGAGCCTTGCGTGTGGCCATGGGCACCCGTGTCCGCAGTTCTTGTGTGTCTGGTGTGTGTCATTTTAACTCCCCCCTTTCTCTGCCCACGCCCCCGCACAGCTCGTTGCCTGCACTGCAGCCCCCCTCCCTCCCCTTCATTCCTGCAGTGGCTGCTCCCCTTGGCTACCTTCCCTCTACCCTGCCCCCTCCCCATTTCCGTCCCCCTCCTCCACCCCCGCCCACGGCTGGTCTCCCTTCACTGGACCCAGCTAGCTGATGGATTGATTCTCTTTGCGCAATCTGTGCGTCATCGTCCACCACCCCCCGGAACCTCTAGCTGTCCAAGCCCCCAGCCCCAACCCCTCAGGCTGGAGATACGGACGAGGGGCATGGTGGCTGTAAGGGGCGATCTCTGACGTTACACGCCCACCCCCACCTCCTGCATCACGTTCAAACCTTCCCTTTAAGCAGTGGAGAGAGCTGGAGTTGAGTCACCCCCCTACCTGCGCAACCCCCTCCCCACCTGGTTGCTCTTGCCCTCCAAACGTCCTTTGGGGGGAAATCAGCAGGAGAAAAAGAAGCTGAAGAGGGATGAGGAGTGGTGGGTTGGAAAGGGGCACAGCGGAGGCGCCAAGAGACGCTACAGAATCAGCTGGACAGAAGGACAGGCACACCTTTTTCTTCAGACATGCACCGACCGTGTACAGACATGACACAGTCACAAACATCCTCAGTCTTTCCCCTTTCTCTTCGGACTTGGACCTTTTCGGTGGAATTACCAAAACCGCAAGGTCTCTCTGCCCCGACCCAGGGCCGGCACCCCGCACCGCGGATCCGCAGACAGCGCCTGCAGGCGCGCAGATCTGTCCCTTCTTTCTCAGGTTCACGCCGTCCTTGGGCGTGTTCCCCATGGATCATGAGGCCGGGGGATGGGGAGTCTGCCCCCACCCCCTGCTTTGGATTATTATCCTCCTCCTTTCCAGTAGGATATCCTGTTGGTGCCCAGTCAGACCTGGGAATGCCCCCATCCTATTCCGTTTCACAACACGGGCTCCCGCCGCTGCAAGTTGCTGGATAACCCACCCTCTTGCCTTCCAGCGCCTCTGTATCCACCTTTCCATTCATTCTCCCATTCATTCATTCATCCTTTTCTCCTCATCCCTCCTTCATTCATTCATAGCCCCCAACTCCGCCCGACTCGGCATTTCATTCATTCGTTCATTCATTCATTCATTCATTCATTCATTCATTTCCCGGGTGCTCCACTAGCTCACGCCCCTTCAGTCGAGGGCCCCAGCGCACAGGCGCAGGCCGGGAGAGCACCGCAACCTCCAATCACTCGGCATTCTCCAGCCTCTAGGTACCCGCCCGCTTCCCCATGAATGAACATTGACGTCAATGGGGCGGGACCACCCCACGTGACACCGCGCGCTCCCCTTTATAAGACAGCAGCGGCGCGGGCGCTGTCCAGCGTGCTGAAGCCGGAGCGAGCAAGCAGCCCGGAGACGCGCGGACCCAGCTGAGTCCAGCCCACTGGACGCCAGACCTTGCCCGTCGCTCGTATCCTAGCCACCTCTTGGAGCCTAGGCGAACGCGTCCAGATCTTCCCCTGTCCCCACCCTGCCTCGACCCTCCTCTTCACCACCTGCGTCGTGACACCAGCTGGTAAATACTCCGCTGTCCGACCCTCTAACCCTGGCAGCAGTGGGCGTGATGGAGGGTTCTTTCTCTTCGCGGGTGGGGGTGTTAAAACCATATCAGGGAGCCACTCGTAAGGGTCTCTGGTAAATGGGGGGAGTTGCTGCTTTTCTCTTGCTGCTGAAGTCGCCCACGCACCATCCAGAGTCCTGTGGGGAGGGAGTAGAGATTTTTCCCTTATCCTCGCGGCTTAGTACGTGGGCGCTGGCAATGAGATGGCTCAGAGAAGGGGGAGAGGAGGCTCCGTGGGTGCGAGGGTTTTGGGCATTCTCCCATTTACACGACTCCAGAGATCTTCCTAATTTGTGCCTAAACATCCCTCTCCTGGGTAAGATTATAGGGATTGGGGAAGCCCTGATTTTCTGATTAAAGATGGGGGAAGGGAATATAGAGTCAGAAAGTGAAAAATTCTTATAGAAATCCTCCCCCCTCCTTTGCCCTCTTTTATTTTTCAGTCTCAGACAGTCTCTTGGTCATGAAATCGCTCAGGTTGCCGGCTTTCTCCCTCTTCTGCTTCCTTCTACTGCTTAAGGGGCTGGGAGGAGCGCCCCCCGGGCGCCCTGAGGCGAAGTCACCTCCTCTCAGCTCTGAGCATAAAGAGCCGGTAGCTGGGGACGCAATACCCTGGCCAAAGGATGGTCCCGCTCCAGAGGTCCGAGCCGCTCGAAATTCGGAGCCGCAGGACGACGGAGAGCTTTTCCAGGGGGTGGATCCCCGGGCGCTGGCCGCGGTGCTGCTACAGACACTCGATCGCCCGGCCTCGCCCCCGGCGCCAGGCGGCTCCCCGCGGGGGCCAGAGGAAGAAGCAGAAGAAGCCCTGCTAACCGAGACCGTGCGAAGCCAGACCCACAGCCTCCAAGCGCCAGAGACCCAAGCACCCGCGGCCCCGCCTCTCTCTCAGACTCAGGAGAATGGTCCCGATGCGGGCGACCCCTCCGAGGAGCTCGAGGCGCTAGCTTCTCTGCTCCAGGAACTGAGAGATTTCAGTCCGAGCAGCGCCAAGCGCCAGCAGGAGACCGCAGCAGCAGAGACGGAAACTCGCACCCACACGCTGACCCGAGTCAACCTGGAGAGCCCGGGGCCGGAGCGTGTGTGGCGCGCTTCCTGGGGAGAGTTCCAGGCGCGCGTCCCGGAGAGGGCGCCCCTGCTGCCCCCGGCTCCTCAACAATTCCAGGCTCATATACCCGAGAGTCGCCCCCTTCCCGAAGCCCACCAGTTCGGGGGAAAAGTGCCCTCCCCCAAAACACACCTAGGCGAGGCTTTGGCACCCCTGTCGAAGGCGTACCAAGGCCTGGGCGCCCCCTTCCCCAAGGTGCGCCGGCCGGAGAGCTCACTTCTGAGCGGCTCCGAGGCGGGGGAACGCCTTCTACAGCAAGGGCTAGCTCAGGTAGAGGCAGGGCGGCGGCAGGCCGAGGCCACCCGGCAGGCCGCGGCGCAAGAAGAGCGGCTGGCGGACCTTGCCTCGGACCTGCTGCTCCAGTATTTGCTGCAGGGCGGGGCCCGGCAACACGGCCTGGGGGGTCGGGGGCTGCAGCAAGAGAAGGAGCTGGAGAGCGAGAGGGAGGAGGCGGAGCAGGAGAGACGCGGCGGTGAGGGGAGGGTGGGGGAAGAGGACGAGGAGGCAGCGGAGGCGGAGGCGGAGGCGGAGGAGGCGGAGAGGGCGCGGCAGAACGCGTTACTGTTCGCTGAGGAGGACGGGGAAGCCGGAGCCGAGGACAAGCGCTCCCAGGAGGAGACGCCTGGTCACCATCGGAAGGACGCTGAGGGGGCAGAGGAGGGCGGGGAGGAGGAGGACGACGACGACGAAGAGATGGACCCACAGACGATCGATAGCCTCATTGAGCTGTCCACCAAACTCCACCTGCCAGCGGACGACGTGGTCAGCATCATCGAAGAGGTTGAGGAGAAGCGGAAGCGGAAGAAGAACGCCCCTCCGGAACCTGTGCCGCCCCCACGGGTTGCCCCCGCCCCCACCCACGTCCGCTCCCCTCAATCCCCGCCCCCCGCCCCCGCCCCCGCTCGAGAAGAGCTGCCAGATTGGAACGAGGTGCTCCCGCCGTGGGATCGGGAGGAGGATGAGGTGTTTCCCCCGGGGCCCTACCACCCTTCTTCCAACTACATCCGGCCTCGGACGCTGCACCCCCCCGCTGCCTCGCGCCGCCGCCACTACCACCACGCCCTGCCACCTTCGCGCCACTATCCTGGCGGCGAGGCCCAAGCAAGGCGAGCGCAGGAGGAGGCGGAGGCGGAGGAGCGCCGGCTGCAGGAGCAGGAGGAGTTGGAGAATTACATAGAGCACGTGCTGCTCCAACGTCCGTGACAGGCCCCGCCCCCGAGCGCCAACGCGGCGCGCGCAGTCACCCCCCTCCGTGTCTCTCCAGTCCCTCTTGGGTGTTTGCATGCGTCCTGACCCTGCCCTCGGGCCTCCCCCCCCCGCCCCCGCCCCTCGTCCTCACCCCGCTGGGCTGTGCGGGGACCTGTCAAGACCTCTTCCGGCGCCCAAAGCCCGAACTCCCCAAACTCACGGGTATTCCAGGGCCAGCCCAGGAGGGCGGGTGGTTTGTGCCAGCTCTCCCCTCACGGGGAGCTGCCCCTATTTAGTCTCCTAGTTCCACTCGTGTCTGTCTCCTGCCCTTTCGGCCTTCCACAAGCCTCTCCACCCTCTCTTGATCTCTGTGAATTTACCCGTTCTTTCCCTTCTCTCTTGTAAATACCCCTCACGGAGGAAATAGTTTTGCTAAGAAATAAAAGTGACTATTTTATTAGGACTTTGTTCTCGGTTCTTCACCCGTCCCCTTGGGCCTGCGCGGTCCCTCCCAAGGGGCGGTGAGGGAAACGCCAGCCACATTACCCACCGTCTCCTGCTCAAAAGCAAGGGTTAAGTGGCACCCACTTTATAGTGTATTTGGAGATAGTATAGGCTCACATCCATTTGGAACCCCCACATTCCATTTCCAGTTTGGGGGTGGTGGTGGTGAAGTCATGGGTTCCCAGGCCTGGCAGAAAGATGCAAAGTACACAAGGAGCCACGGCCCTGGGCTACATAGGAAGCTCTTCTCTCCCTGACCCTGAGGCCACACAGGCAGTGCTGGTGGCTCCCCACAGCCCCTATTCCACCTCACCATCCGGCCTCCCATAACTGTTCCCTAAATACCCTGGTCCTACATACTTCACAAGAAATATGGGGTTTGGGGACAGCAGCCACATAAACCACCTGGTTTTGGCCACTTCCCAACCCTTTCTAAGCATGGGTGCTGATATAGATGCTTGAACTCCTGAGTCTCCTTCCCAAATATAACTAAACCAGGCAAATGAAATCTTCCACGAAGAAATCTTGAAGTACAGGACATTCAGTTAAATTTGCATTTCAAAGAAACAATGGGTGTTTGCATAGGATACACTTAACTTTAAAAATTACTCTTATCATACAAACTGAACTGGGTATCTATCCCTTTTTTTAAAAAAAAAATTTTGGCCCTAACCCTGGCAACCCCAACTCCCGGGAAGAGTCCAATGTGGCGTTCCCTTCCCCTCCTGACTGATCCCAGCAGCCCTGCCTTCCCTCACAGATCCTCAGGCAGGCTAAGTCCAGAAATGTGTTTCCTTTTATTTCAGATGAAAGGAAATAGTCAGCCGCTTCCCCACCCCACCCTCTTAGGTCCTGCCTCACCCCGAACCTGGAGTGAAGAGGGACAGGGCCCAGTCTCCCATGAAGCCTGCCCTTCCCCCAACCCTCCCTCCCTCAAAGTGGCATGGTTAGAAAAAAAATTAACTGCGTTGTTCCTCCCACAGCACTGAACAGAGGCCCTACTGCAGCCAAGGAAGGGAAAAGGGCAGATGAGGGGAAAGGACGACCCACTCACTACAGATGCCCCCTTCCCAGGCAGAAAGGCTGCCCTCGTTGGCTGCAGGGGGGATGGAGGTAGGTTATGGGGCAGGGAGAAGAGAAGAGCCCTGAAAACCTTACCCTTTAACCTGACATATTTATATATTTACAGTTATAAGGGAGGGAAGTTTGGAGTAATAGATCTTCAAAGGCAGGGAATGAAAGCCAAATAGCACCCCCATCTTGGGTCTTGGTCATATTTTCTGCCTCCTAGCTCCCAAAACCTTCAGTAGGAAAAGGGAAAGAGGAGGTAGGGGGTGAAGGGAGGGACTGTTTGAGGGTCCTGAGCCTACAGCTCACTCCAAAAGAAGGCGAGGCAGCAGAGGAGGGGCAGCTGAGTCCCACCCAGGAAAGGGCTGCTTGTGGCTTGTGCCCTGCCTCTCCACCAGCTCCCCACGTTTCCATGCGGCCAAGGCGGGGGCTATGCCAGACCCATCTCCTCCAACACACTGCGCGGCGACTCATCCTCCTAAGGCAGAGACAAACAGGGTGACGCAGAGACACCAGGAGAGGCAGACAGGGAATGAGGGAGGTGGGTGGGCAAGACAACAGCATCACAAAGACAGAGGCAGAGTGGGGGAAGCACACAGAGAAACAGGGAGGAGAGAGAGAAGCCAATGTGAACCCAAGGCAGAACAGCTGGGGAACCCTCCAAGGGAGTTCCCCAGCCTCCTAGGACCACCTCCCAGAGCCAACTGTGACAAGGAGAAGGGTCTGGGTTGAGTCCACCGCCACCCAGAGAACCCAAAGCCAGGTTGGTGAGCAGGAGGCTCAGCCTTAGTATCTGAGGGGAAGGGGGGTGAAGCTGGGGCTGCGCAACGGGAAACATTTTCTGAGGACTGGGGATAGCAGATGGTTGGGTCCATTTTTTCAGGGGTAGAGAGGAGTAAAAGGCTGGCATCAGGTCCCTGAGGTAAGGTGAACCAGACTGCAGAGAGATGAGTCATTAGGGTCTGAGCAGAGCACTAGTAACAGGTGTGTGCATGTGTATCAGGGTGCATATGTGCTACAGTACATGTACATGCACATGCACACACGTGTGTAAGGGAACCTGTACCAGTGAGGTGACAAGTTCAATTCTGCTCTTTATCCTACTGCAGAGATGAGGCCCCTATCTCACCCCCTCCTCAGAGCCAGCTCAGGCCAGCTTGCTTGTCACTGCAGATTCCGGTGACTCATCTTCCTGCACCAAGTCTCAGCAGTGGCACAGCAGAGAGGGGGCAAGCAGTAATGGGGTGAGGGCAGGGGTGCTTGATAGCAAGGTGAACCAATAGCTAGATGTTCTCTACCCCAACCCCAAATCCCTACAGTCCTTTGCTTCTGAGAAGCAGAGGCTCATTTTCAGTGTATATAAAAAAGAGGGGGGGGGGGATTATCTACTATGTGCTCTCTCTCTCCAATTCTTTGAGCAACCCTTAAATGCTCAGATAAGCAAGGGACAAAGGAGATTCAGCTGAGGCGAGACACTTTGCGTCTTGTGGAAAGGAGGGGAGAATTGACACGGGGTGGGGGGCTGTCTACCACCCCCACCTTCCATCCCAGGCAATCAGGGCTTGAGGACAAGCTGGCCAACTGGGCGTGGGGGCCAGACGCCACAGGGAGGCGGGGCCCCTTGGAGGCGGTGGCGGGAAGAGGGCAGCTGTGGCTGGCAGGCAGGGTGTCCAGGGGAGGGACGGCACCTTCTACCATGATACTCTTCCTTCTCCTCACTGTTCTGGGCCCATACCTCCTGCAGCAGATCAGCCTGCTCAATAGCCTTTAGCACACTCTTCTTGGAGGTGTCCTGGACATCACCCCCCATCAAAAACTCATCCAAGATGAAGTAGGCCTTCTCAAAATTAAAGATGATGTCCAGCTCACACACCTAAGAGGAGGGGGGGGGAAAGGCAGAGTTGAGTGATGAAGTGCGTTCCCACCCAACCTGTTCCACCTCCTTTCTCATTATGGCTACCTGTCTTCTTCATGACTACTCTTCCCACCTTGGGTTCTTGCCCCAGGTCTATGCTCTCCCAACCCCTAGGCCCTCAGACGTGGTTCAGGTTTTCCTTCTCCTTTTCCTGCCTCTTTCTGTGATCATAAAATATAAGTTACCCTTGACTGAAGCTCTTGTTGCCCCCCCACCCCCAAATCTGTGACATTGTTTCCACCAGCATCTGGGCTAGCCTCCTTCCCTAGGATTGTGGGACAGGGAAGGAGTTAAGATCAGGAACTACTGATAAAGTCTAAATAGGGCTTCTGTCCTTTTGTGAGAAGTCTGAGTTGAGTGCTAGATGAATTTATTCTGATCCCCAGTCTCTTCCTTCAGCTGATTAAGGGGCATGGCTAGGTTTACGGCTTAAAGAGGGAGATTACTTACCATTTACACTGCTCCAACTTCAACTCTCCCAAGTACCCCAGGGCAGAATAGAAAGGCCCCACAGTTTGGAGGAAACAGAAGATTGCCAAGTATGGAAACAGGGGAGGGTGGGGAGACTTACGCTGCCAAAGTATTTGTCCAAGAGCTCCACATATCGGTGGATCAGTTCCAGAGTGATGAGTTCATTGTCTTGGCCCTCAATGGCGCAGCAGAAGTAGAGGCTGGCATATCTGCGGACAGGGGCACATGAGAGGTAGCTGGGAAGGCTACTGAGCATGCTCCAGGACCAGGCATTCAGCTCAAACCTCTCATTTTCCCTCATTCCCACCTCAGAGTCTATGCGGCTACTAGACACACGTGGCTTGGTCTCAGGATATACAAAGAATAACTCACTCAGTCTCTTGGTGCCTCTCACAAACAGGCAAATACCAAACTCCTCTTGCTCTCTGACCTGTTTAGTTTGACTCAGCAAAAACCTGAGCCAAGTAATTCACCTGCTCAGAAAAGGAACTGGAAAGGGTGTATGTGTATGTGTTGGGAAAAGTGGCACAGGATTTTTTAACAAGATTTTATTTATTTTCAGAGAGAGGGGAAGGGCAGAAGAGAGGGGAAGAAACATCAATGTGAGAGAGAAACATCGATCTGTTGCTTCGTGTATGGCCCTGACCAGGAACTGAACCTACAACCCAGGCAAGTGCCGTGACCAGGAACCGAATCGGTGACCTTTCACTTTGCAGGATGATGCCTAACCAACTGGGCCATACCCGTCAGGGCAGCACAGGATTTATGACTATTGAATGAGAGAGCAAGGGATGTGTGTAATGGGCAAGATAGAGCCTTTGGGATAGAGGTATGTGCATGAAGTAGGTATGAGGTAAGAGCAAAAGTAAGTGGGAAACAAGAATTTCTTCAAGGTTAGTTTGGAAAGCAAAGAAAGCTGTTCATCACTGCCCTTCAGATGTCCTTAGGTCCCAGTTTTCCCTGACCTATGGACTATTTATTACTTAGCCATTCAAACCCATTGCCAGGCGCCAATTAAGCAGGATCCAGGCGGGTCTGAAAGTAGGTGGGGAGTCAC